GCAATAAAAGATATAGCAGTAGGAGAACCGTTACTAATGTGGTTTGACGATTGTATTTTGACTATGTTGAATATTCCATTTTTAACACCCATCAATTGCAATATTCAAGGTAGGAGAAAAATTTCTCTAAGCTAATTTAATTTTTTCGTGTGATGTCATCAGTAAACTTATTAGTTATAATCTTTCGTTAGTTTTCTACCTAAACATTATCCTTAATAATTTATAACTACTAATTTGATCATTAATAATTCCTACTAATTATAAGTTTATTATGTATTATGTTTACAAAAGTGCAATTTAGAAGTATACAAGTATTACAATTTACTGGAGATATTTTAATTAAGTGTTATCCATTACTACCTACGTGGAGAAATTAAACTAGATTGATTTATAAAATTTACAGGATATACAATCTAATTTACAAGAATGAATGTATGTTACATTTATAATATTAAATTTAACCTAAATTAACATATAATTATATATAGATTAAACTTTTATTAAATAAGATTAAATACTAACTGATTTCTAATTAATGCTAATGCAAAATTAATTACAATACAATAGATTTTTCACTACGTTATTTAAAAAATCTAATTATTTCACTATTATTATTTTAGGTTAAGAAACGAAATTGATTAGAAAATTGATTAAGAAATTGCTTAGAAAATGAAAAATAAAAACGCTATTAATAAAAATTTTTCTAATCGATCATATAAACAGTCTAGCATAGCTGATATAAGTTAGTGATGGTGTTTCTTTAATTTTAACTTATTATTATTATAATATCTTACCATTAATTGTCAAGATTGTTAGAAAACTAAATTACAATATAAAATAAGTGCAACATAAGAAATGTATTATATAAAAATTAAATAAGCTTATTAATCAAATATTTTTTAACAGATAATTATTTGAATGATTACAGGTCAGGTTTACACGTGCCATAATTGCAACAGCTGCTTTGATCATCCAAATCCTCTGAAGCTACATTTGGCATTGGATTGCAATCGAATGGACAATAGTTACATTTGGATGCTTCTGGCGAATAAGATCATTAATTCCCCGAAAACGGATTTATCCTTGAGCCAGTATCCAAGAACAAGTTTCACATTTGAGTTGAGACCCTTGCCTGTTTCTAGACCGATTACATTACCAATTGGTATTCCAACGTATTCAGTGCAAACGATTGACACTACTATTCGCTCGTTAAAAAATGATTCGCCATCCTCATCGAATCAATTATCATCCATATCCTCGAATGGTCCCTCACCGACACCTCCATATTCCTCAGTAAAATCTCCAACGATAGAAGTTTTACCGAGCTCATCGACCTACGAATCACCCATCGAAAACATAACAGAGAGAAATCGTTATTTGACTTTGAGGTCTTACGAGGCTCTGATGCATCGAGATGTCTACAGAAATAGTTTCATGTCCTATATACGTCCCAGCATACATACAGAATCCAAGAAGAAGAATCCCGCGGAAGTGGAGACAATTGCCAGCGACATGGGTAAATGCAGTGCCGGATACAAATGTATATTTTGTAATAAAATTTACTCGAGAAAATATGGATTGCGAATCCATATTAGGACACATACAGGTTACAAGCCTCTGAAATGCGACTTTTGCCACCACAAATTCGGAGATCCCAGTAATCTCAACAAACATGTAAGATTGCATGCAACAGGAGAGAGTCGTTATAAATGCAATATGTGCGATAAAGTCTTGGTCAGGAGGAGAGACTTGGAGAGACACATAAATTCCTGGCACTCGCAAAACGCTAATGTTTCCAATGCTGAAATCAATGACAGGGATTAGAAAAGAGTCAGAATTACAAAACAATGAATTTCACAGCATCTCTTATGAGTACCGTGATTCCTAGATTATTTTGGAATTAAATATATGATCTAATTATTTTGTTTTTTTTAACACAATGGAACATTTTTCTATTCAAAATTTTTAGTGTTGTATACATGGACAAATGGGTGTCGAACTCGAATCTTTCGCTTATAGCAGATAACTGCCCCAGTTATTTAGCGACCTTATACCCACAATCTTTGATGGGCGATTTAAGCTTTATCATGATGCTAAAAGAATGTCATTGTCTGTGATAAATAGATTATTTAGAAAAAAAATGATAATCGTAAACAATGACATTTTTCTCTAATTCTGAACCAATTATATAAATATTAAGATGTTAAATAGAAGAACATGTTATTTTAAAACTAATTTAAGAAATAATATCGTTCCTCGCTATTTCTTAACAATTTCATAGCAATTATTAAACTTTCAGCATTAAAAATTTCCCGGTTATATAAATAATGTAAATTTAATATATTTATAAATATATATTATAGCTTAAATCAAATTATAAATAATCTATTTATCAATACAGCTTTATGTGCATGTTAAACCGATTTCTCTAGTACAAATTTCAATAAAACTAGTTAATGTATTTTATTGTAAAACTGTTGTTGAAAATAAAAATATATATATCATAAACTTTTAAATATTTTAAATATATTTTTTGTATCATTTTACGTTTATAATTGGTGGTAATTCTTAATTATCCATAAAAGTGATAAGCTACCAAGTTCACATGAATAAACAGTTGCACAAGAATCAAATGTAATATTGACCAGACAAGTGATTTTTGTAACGTAGCTATCATATTGCATTTGGATAGAAAACTTTTGCTGAAGTATTTAAAAATTATTTAGATACAAAAATCTAAAAATAATTTGTTGCAGGGCTATCAAAATAATTATACATATAGAACGCACTCAAGATGATTGCTAAAATATTAAAATGCTTACAATATTGCTTATTATGCTTGAGCGTTCTACAACATTATTTTCATAGTCCAACAAAATTATTTTCAATTTTATTTAGCTAAATTTTTAGATACTCTAGCAAATTATTTTATTCCGTGTATGTATACAGTCACGTTCTTATCGATAAAATATAATGACCGCGACTGTAGTAGAATCGCGAATATTGCTAATTAATATCGTATATTTCGATCAACTCATATATAACGTAATCGCTTTATGAAAATTTCATCTTATCTAACGATACTATGATCGCATGAAGTTCACTTGACAAAACTGTCGTACTGTTGCAATATAGTGTATATCTAATGGGGGATTCTCCATCAGAGTTTCTATCATTTTGTATCAAAGATTAAGAAAAAATTAACAAACCACTGATATGTCGGCCGTGCTTCTGGATGCACCTATTGGCTGCGTTCCGTTTCACGCATGATGCATCTTTTATCCTTATTATTTACCGAATGTTAAACAAGGATAAATGATGCATTATGCACATCATCGCAGCCTGTATAGTACTAGGAATTCTGTCATATCCTAGAGGTTGAAGGTACTACATTATTTCTCGTGGAGAAAGACGTCAAAAGTTTTGTTTCTGATGAAATTTGATCAATCAGAAACATTTTTATTTTAATTCCAACGTTATAAAGAACGTTAAGTAAGGGATTATCAAAGTTGTGAGATTAATTTTCACAGAGGATCAGTAGAGGGGACTAGTTGCGGACCCGATATTCTCGATTGTGATTGGTGGCCACTATCAACCAATCAGCAAACGTCCCATTTGCGGTTCTCTGATAATATAGGACTCTAGATTCTCGAAGCGATGTCAACGACATCTGTGATACAAACTCCGAATCTCGTTGTCGCTTCATTAGCTACGTTTAGGTTAAACAAAGACACTTATCGTATAGGTCGTGGACTAAGCGCACGGTGTAAACGTAGGCATTAGATCGATCGCGCGGTCGATCCGGGATGGTGTAGTGCTAGATTTACACTGCATCCGATTTTCGTCGTACGAC